ATATATATATATATATATATATATATATATATATATATATATGATTTCAGAGAGAGAGGGAGAGGGAGAGAGCAATAGAAACATCAATGTTGAGAGAGAATCATGGATTAGCAGCCTTCTGCATGCCTCCCCCTTGGGAAGAGCCCAAAACCAAGGCATGTGTCCTTTGACCTCATGGAACCTGGGACCCTTCATGTCAAGCATGTCAAACTCAAAGGCTAACACGGGCCAAATAAACACAGTTTAAGTTTATGTGGGCCGCAAAAAAAAAAAGCTTCAATTTTCATAGAAATGTAGGTTTATTTCACTACAGAGATGCTAAATACAAAGGGCTAAAATAAATGAGTAATGGTTAACATAACATAATAGAACATTTTAATAAAAATTAATATTTTTTCTTGAACATTAACTTACCAGACACAGAATAACTGCACAAATTAATAAGCATAAAGCAAATAAACCTATTTTTCTTGTTCTCCGAAAGTGAAATATTTCCTTGTTGCGCACACCAAACAAGTCAGTGTAAGACTAATAATGTGGCAATTGGCTGCTAAAATATTTGCTGCCAGAATTAGTGGAGAGAAACGGTGCGCCAGCGTGAGAGTTGCATAAGGGAAATGAATGCAATACGATTATAGTAATCAGTCATTAGAAACATTGTAGTTTGTTATTAATAATTATGTATATCAGGATATTGTAAAAATTAAGTTACAAAACTTTTATTAAAACGTTTCTTACATACCATTATTTTGACGGGGCCACAAAAATATTCATTGTGGCCCACGAGTTTGACATGCTTGCTTCAGCCTGCAGTCTGATGCTCTATCCACTGAGCCAAACCTGCTAGAGCTCCTAACTCCTTTTAAAAAAATAGTTCTTAGGACCTGTTTGTTAAAAAATGTTTTTATTGATTATAGAGTGTGAGAAAAGGAGAGGGAGATAGAGAGAGAGAGAGAGAGAGAGAGAGAGAGAGAGAGAGAGACATCATTTGGTTGCCTCCTATACATGCCACAACCTGGGATTGAAACTGCAACCTGGGTATGTGTCCTGACCGGTAATTAAACTGGCCACCTTTTGGGCCATGGGACAATGCTCAGTCACCTGAGCCACACTGGCCAGGGCCCTAGGACTTACTTAAATGAATGGTGTGGCATGTGTGAAATACAGTGGTGGCATTATGGTATGTTTACAGCACAAAGTCACAAAGGCAATTCACATGTAACAATTTTTCAACAGGCACAAAATTCAGTTGCTATGGTTACTTAAATAACCCAAGTACATCACTGGTTTAAATTTCAGTTTAAACATGATATATTACTAGTAAGTGTAATTCTTAAAGTAGGACCCAGATGATGGAGTTTCCAGCCCCAGAGAATTACTCTCCTCAGCAGTTCATCACTTACAAAGTCTGCCTTCCACACAACAGTGCCACACAACTAAGCTATGTTTTCTGGCCCTTTACAATAATAATCACCTTTTCTTCAGTGTCATATAACACTTTCCTCATTTTCCTCTGAGCTGTCACCAAATGCAATGCAATCGGCTGCTTTCACATTCATTTTCTAGGGACATTTTCTGGAAAATATATGTCTTCTCCACAGCTAATTTATCTTATTTGTAATGGACTTACTGTTGGGATTATAAATCCTATTACAGTGTGTAGTAAGGGTTAGAAGACAGAAACACTTTGTGGGGGGAAACAGAATCCCAAAGGAATTGACTTGAGATGATTGTTCTACATTGATAGTATCTTTTAGAATAGGACATTTTAGGAATTTATATCCTGGTCTCCTCTGGTCACTGAACCAAAAGCAGTCTTATACTGATAGGGGGGACTTGTAATCTAATAGGTAGAGCACCTGTATGAATCTGAAAAGTAATCATATTATTTTAGGTCTAAGAGCACAAATACTTATGTGAATAGGGGGTTAAGTTTCTTATGTATGAATAGGGAGTTAAGTTTTTCTTCAAGTTTCCTTTTCAAGGCCTGTGGGAAGTGATTGAGGAGTGGACTTAACTGTGACTCCAACAAGCAGAACCCACCAGCATGGTCAAGCCAACCCACCAGGAGTCAAAACATCATCTCATCAACATCATCTCATGGCCTGATGACTAATTACAGTAGCTGATGTCTGAGGACCCCCAGGCCTGCACATAGCTGCATTCTTCACCCCAATCCCTTCCCCTTCATAAACCAATCCCCGAATCTTGCTGGGAGGTAGGATTTGATTCTTGTAAGCACCCTGTCTTCTTGGCTGTCTAGCCTTCTCAATAAACACCTAATATGATTCAACCCTGCCTTCATTATTGGACACAGCGACAGGCAGCCTGAGCCCACCCAGAGGTGCCCCTGTAACAATACCTGAGCTTATAACTCAATTGAAATAGTTTTTAGTGATTTCATTAGTCATCTAGCAGCAAAGTCACTTGAATACTATTTCATTTTTATGTCACTTTGCTCTGTTCTTGGCAATGAGATTGACTAGAATTAACTGTGATTCTGCTTTGTAGGAATCACTCTCATAGATTGGAAACATATAATAAATGTTTGAATTTTTAGTTAAAATATATCTTATGTATTGATTTTAGCGAGGCAGGGAGAGGGAGAGAGAGAGGTAGAAACATCAAGGATGAGAGAGAAATATGGAAAGGCTGCCTCCTGTATGACCCTCTCAGGATCAAGTGGAAACCTAGGCATGTGCCATGACCAGGAATCATACCTTGACCTCCTGGTTCATAGGTCCATGCTCAGCCACTGTGCCACACTGACCGGGAAAAGGTTTGATTTTAAAAGAATGTGGAGGTTGTCAACCACAATTGAAAATAAATTGTAGTCCAGGTTGGTTTGGCTCAGTGGCTGGAGCATCGGCCTCCTGACTGAAGGGTCCCAGGTTCAGTTCTGTACAAGGGTCCATGCCTGGGTTGCAGGAACCGTGCCCAAGAAGGGGGGTGCGAGACGTGCAGGAGGCAGCCATTGGCTGATTCTTTCTCATCATTGATGTTTCTATTTCTCTCTCCCTTCCTCTCTGAAATCGATAAAACATATAAATAAAAACTATTCCAGTGTTGGAAGACAAAAT